GCCGAGCGGCCTCGCAGCCCCGAGGCAGCGCCTCTGGCCCCAAGGATGCCCCATCCCAGCCCGACACCGCCCCCGCCCCCAAAAACGATCCTGTCAAAGGCCTCAGTGTTTGCGGCAAGGTCACAACAACACGTGTCCTCTCCGCATCTGCGGGAGACGGGACAAAACGCCCTTGTGGGAGACGGGCTTGGTGCCGTGCGTGCCCGGGCCAGTCCCCATTCCCACCTTGTTTTTGGGGCTGTGCTGGGTGGTCCAGGTGCATGCAGACAAGACGCTGCTCCTACCGAGATGGGCATCGGCAGCCGACCCGGCCCGAGGCCGCGCGGACGCTGCAGGGAGCCACCGCCGAGCTCTGCTGCTGTCTGTGGCACCCGGGCTCCTCTCCCAATGTGTGCAGAGCTCTGGCTGCAGGAGCTGGGGGCCAGCAATGCCACTGGCTTAGCTGGGATTTGTCCCAGTCACTGGGGCACTAAAAGGATGAGCTAGGAGCTGCTTAACTGGGCTCCTCGGCATCTAACTCAGCAGGTTAGTTGGTTTTGGATGTTTCCCATTGCCTTCCCCTCCAAGCCCAATTAGAGAGCGCAGGGTGGCTTTTCTGGCTCCCTGGGAACGCCTGATCTCGTGACAGCAGAACGGGCCGGGCGGCATTCCCACGGCATCCCTCTGCATCGGCGACGCGTCCGGATCCCTGTCAACCCATCCGAGCACCCGGCTGCCCCGCTGCTTGCCGAGCCCCGAGCTGCCACCCCGCAGCGCAGCGCATGGCTGTCATGGCCCCCTCTCCGCAGGGTTGCAGAAGTGCCTCCTCATGGTCATCCCAGAGGCCCGGCTGGTCCAGTGCCCTGCTCGCACTCCATCACTTCCCAGCAGTCTGTCCTGGAGCTTCATACTCATATATGGTGCGAGGTGGGAAGTGGATGTCCTGCCTCCAGGTCTGCTGGAAGCATTAAGCCAAAGGCAAGTGCCCCTTGCATGGAGAGCACCAGACGACAGCCCTCAGGTGCACAGGGGTGTTTTGGGGGGACGAAACACTGAATTTCCAGCCTGCTGACAGTCAGGCCCTGCTGTAAGAGGCCTTGGCAGCTCAGGTGGGCAGAGAGACCTGCTGCAAAGGGCACAAGGCCCCAGCCAGGTGGTGGGGGATAACGATGGGATTATTGCTCACCGTTTCCTATCTGTCCTGCATGGGAACCAGCACAAGGACTGTCTCAGCAGTCACCTGTGAAGCTCCAACTGGGAGATTCCCTTGCAACAGGCACCCGCACACATGTTTTGGGCTGGAAACATCTGTCAGGCAGTGCCCAGGAGATGCCAGGATGTTCATATGGGGACCAGCGGGAAGTGACACCCTGTGTCCCCGGACAGGGCACCAGGGATGAGCCAGGCTGGATATCGAGTGATTTGGCATGTAAGTCAGCAGGGTTTCGTTTGCCTGCTGAAACAGAACCAGGTTTCTAATGCAGCCAAGAGCTTTTGACCTCTTGACAGTGACAGATTTCAATTTGCAGCTTTGAAGGGACACCTCGATCGTAAGCAAACTGGAGCGCTATCTATAACAAACAAAACCCAGACCGCTGTGACCAGAGGAATCATTGATTTCCTGCAGTTCCAGGAGGCACAAGGGTGCAAAACCAAATAGATAACCTGGCTGCAGCTCCCAGCTTTGGAGTCTTTCTCCTGCTTGGCCGTGTGCAGAATTACAAAGCGTCCAAAAAGTGGATCTGGGCCCCGAGTCACGCAGAAGAGAGAGGAGGCAAGGGGAGCGCAGCACGTTATGGCTTTGTTAATGAAGGGTGGGTGATGCCTCCCCACCAGCGCATCGCGCTCCGCTTCCTCGGGCTCATCCACGGCGGCTGCCAGCACCTCTGCATGTCACGTTTTCTCACGCTCTCATGTGTCCAAGATGGATAAATCCCTCCCAGATTAATTACTAGGGGCTGCGTAGAGGCAGCAGCTGCTGCGAATGGGAGCCGGGGTGGTCACGAGGACACCGCCGGGTCATGCCAGGACAGCCCCGCGCGGGCCCCGCTTCCCAGAGGGGTTCTCCGCTCCAGAGCCGCTCTCCGGTCCTCATCCGTCTTCCCCACGTCACATCCCGCCAGCATGGGCGGCCGGGGGCCTCCGGCAGCAGCACTCGTGGAGGGCTTTCCCCAAAAGCAAGGAAAAAACAGGATACAGCCTCTTCTAAAGGCATGAGGAAAGAGAGGCTGGTCCTGCTAAGGAGACATGTGCCCCAGCAGGGAGACAGATGGCAAATCCTGTGTTCCCGCGCTCCCTGCTCATTAGGCAAACAAGGAATGACGTGGAGCTAATCAGGGCCTGGCAGGCAGCTCCAGATGTGTCCTAGAAGGCATAGCTCCCTGCTCGGAACAGGATAAGGTATTGAATTCCCTCTGGATGCCCATCAGGATAAACCTAGTGCATGGGAGCACTGCCCTGGTTTCCCTGGATTTCCAAAGAAGACCCCCCACTGATGAATCCCCAAACCCATCTGATGCCCCCCCAGGCCGGGCTCTGCCCATGGTCCCAACGAGCCGGGCTGTCCGTTGCCATGCGGGAGGTAGGACTGGCTCCAGCTCTGTCCCAGCAGCTGCGGTGCCAGCAGGAGAGGAGAAAAAGCCCTTGTAGTCCCAGCCCAGCAGCTGTTGCAGGATCTGGGCTGGGAAGGGAGCGGAGGGAGGGCTGTGAGGGCTGTGCATGATCCCAGTGAATGCAGCTGCAGCCAGACCCCGCGGGGGCCGGCGCTGGGCCGAGACGACGGCCGAGAAGGGCCAAGCACCTCCCGCCCTGCTCTGCTCACCCCGTGCCAGGCACACGGCCTCAGTTTCCCCAAATTTCCCAGCCCCAGAGTGAGCGCCCAGCCTTGAATTCCCCCTTTGCCAGCCCTGGGGGTGGCCCCGCTCTGGAGGAGAGCACCTGAATCCTGCCCTGAATCCTCGGAACAGGGCACAGGGGCTCCCATGCCTTGGCCCTGATCCAGGTGCACTGTTTCTAGGAGACTGGGGATGTTCCTGCGGGATTCTCCATCCGCCTGAAGGCTGGTGCCGCTCCGAGAGAGCGTCCCTGGGTGCCAGGACCAGCGTGAGGCCTTTGGGCCAGGTGCTCCCCATCCCCTCCACGGCCTCCGGCCAAATCCCCGTGACCTCCCAGCAGCTCTGCTCCTTGTGGCTTCGCAAAGGAAACTTCAGCTGTCAAAGCCTGGCAAGAAGTTGTCATCTGGAGCCGGGATCCATGCAGGAGACAGCACCGGAGCTCCCGCTGCACCCGCGCCCGTGCAGTCTCCACTTGTGCCTTGGTTTCTCCTGGAGCCCAAGAGCGTCTCCTTCCTGCAGGGCTGTTCCTGCACGGACGGGTGCTCCAGGCTCCCGGTGCCGCAACCTTCCCGTGCGGCTCCAGCGCTGGCCTGGATTCAGGCAGAGTGCGCTTCCCAGAGCTCCTGTTTTAGGTGCCATCTATTTTTAGGATGCCCAACCTGCGGCAAAGGTACCGGGCAATCACTGGTTCAGAGGAGCAGCGTGAGAAGCAAGGATTAAAATAATAATAACAATAATAAATAAATGAAACCTCCGTGCCTCTGGTAGCATCACACCAAACATCTCCGCGCCCAGACATTTGGGCACCTCATCCATGCCCAAACTTAGGCGACTCTTCTGCGACTCAGGGAGACACGAAGCACCTCAGGGAGAGCAGCTCGCAGCAGAAGGGCGCTGAGACCCAGCGCTCTCACTGCACGCAGCCGCTCCGCTCCTGTGCCACGGGCCTTCCCTGGGCAGCAGAGGGGCATCGGGGGATGCTGATTTTCTCCCCCAGCTCAGCAAGGAGGTGGCAGCCGGGGGTAGCTGCGATCCAGCTGCAACCGGGAAGCGTTTTGGGGAAGGAGCGGGGGGATAAACCCGCCCTGCAAGGCCGGGCTGCAGCGCCCG